TCCGCGCGGTATGGCAAGGTGACAACATCTCCCTGTCTCCTGGCTCCAGTGGCTTCATAGCACTTAGCTCTAGGAGTGGATCTGTAGCGTGGTCGCATTATGCGGAAAAGATACGTCAAGAAATATAAAGCAACTAGTTCAAGTAATAAAAAGATGCTCTGTTCAGGCATAATAACTGGATTAGGAAGCAAAATACGCCGACCGAATCGTCACTACATGCCTAGTGTTGCATAAGTCGACCACTAGCCCAAAGGCAAAGTACCCGTTGGTCAGATTGTTCATATGTTCACTTTGACACCTAGCCTATCCGGATAGGCTCATCGCCTTCCCCCGCCCGTAGAGGCACGAGGATGGCCTCTTCCCACATGGCGCTGATGACTTCGACAGCCCATTCACTACAATTACGGACCTGATCTGCAGGGGTGGGCTTCTTCCGGAGAACCTTGTCGAGTACCTTGCCCGCCTTTGACTGGTGCTTCGTCGGCAGCGGGACGGCTTCACAAACAGCCCGGAGTCTCGAAACATTCTTAGGGTTCACCCAGCCGAGCTTCTCCATCCACACGCCCGCATCCCATTTGGTAGGGTGAGGTTTGTGACATTTGTAGCCACATATAGCCGTTTTTACTATCATGGTCCGACAGGGACAGTCCACAGTGATGCGGCCGTTCGTGTCGCGGGTCACATAGGGTGGCTCCTTAGAATATTTGGCGCTAGAGCAATGATGCACAGTTGTCTCCGGTGATAGGGGCTGCCCACTATCATCGTTTGATGGCGAGATATGTTGTTTGGGCTGGTGCGCCCTGATAATAGCCTCCTTGGCCGCGTCCTTATCGACGATACATCTGGTATATTTAATGTCCACACAGGCGAACTCTTGCGTGTACTTACATTCTGAGGAGCTAATATGGAAAACAGCCACGGTACTGCCCATGCTAGGCGGCTCGAACGACATTTTGTGCGGGCGTATTCAGTATTGCATCTGGGGTGAGACCTGTTGAGTCAGAGTGGTGAGTGATAGTGTCAATAGAAGCTTAAGTATGAAGACCAGAATTTTATCGTTTAAAGTTGGGGATAGAGGTGACGTTTATATGTTGAGAGAAGGATTATCCCTTTCATGGAGGTCCAAGTAGCAACTGGGGAAGGAGATAAATAAACGAAGAATGTGGCTTGGCTTCGTGGAAGAGACCGTTGCTCATTCTAGGACCATGGATCATTCCAGCCCATGATTCAGCAATGAATTTAATCCTAACAACGTCCCGACGTTTGTAGAAACAATCTAGTGATTGAAGCTCCCACCCCCAATATCCTTTCATCTCTTGCCTTTACGTCCTTCGTACCAGTCGTTTGTTCCCGGGGACGATCCATGGAGAGCCTCTATACCCCTGGTTCCAGAGCCAATGGCCCTCCCTCAAACATTCCCTACCACCCAGGACCCGCGGGCCTCTATCGCGAAGGAGCATGACCTTTCTCCGCGCAAGTCGACTTATCTACAGTTAACCTCTATTCTGCCAGGCACGCCCCAACCCAGGGCTGATTAAACTTCGTGGGTCCGTAACTAGGAATATATTCCGGCTGTACATATGCTCAAGGGCTGTAGTGCTTCGTTAGTCTGTACTCTGCGGCGCAAGCCATGCCCCGAGCCTAAATGTTGTTAGCATCTCATTCCTCAGTGGTGGACCTGGGAACCGATGGAATTCTGACTTACACGAAGATCATATAACAAACGCTGATCAACCCTCCCTTGAATCCATTGACCCTTAGATTAGAGGTCCCTTCACTCAGAACCAAAAGGTTCACCAGAAGAGCCGAACCCATCAGTGTTGCCATCTCGAAGAAGTCAAACGTGAGTCCCAGGTCGCGCTGCAGAGCCCAACCCGCCATGACCGTCAACGGCGCAACGCACAGAGATATCTGAATGGCCGACCCAACAGCGACGGCGATGGCGAGGTCCAACTTGTCCCTGGCCGCCACCGAGACGACAGTCGTATATTCCGCCACATTCCCCACGATCGGCAAAATGACGAGCCCGATCAGCGATTCGGAGACACCGCCGTCACGCACAACGTCGTCGATCGTGTTGACGAGGAATTCTGAGTTCATCGACATGACCAGCGAAGAAACGATCAGGACGGTAACACAAGCGGCCCGATTCGTCGCAGCCCCGTGCTGCAGAGGGAGGGTGTGTGCCGAGTACTCCATATCAGCACGGTTATCCCTCAAGATCTGCAGCGTCATCGCCAGACCCCGCCTATCCCCGCTCAGAGATGAGTCCCGGCTGTGGAACCCCCGACCAGAGCTAAGCGATAACGACCGGGAGTGCTGGCGTGAGCGAAGCAACGGCTGGTAAGAGTTCGGGTGGCTGCTTATGTGACTCTCACCCCCAGCTTTACGCCCCCGGTATTCGGATGCATCGTCATCCTCGGACTCCGCATGGCTGGTCCGCTCGGTCTCTGTTGAGTCGCGCGGCGCCCCTGGAGCGTGCGCATCGTCCTCGTCTGCGAATCGAATCGTACGAGGTGGCAGAGTGGGTGGTCCCACAGGGCCTGGGCGTGGAAAAGACCCAGACGACGGTCGTTCGATGGTGGATGTGCGTTCGATAGTAGGTGGTCGTTCAAAGGTGGGCGTTCGCTCAAAGGTGGGTATTCGTTGCAGCGTAAGCCCTTGGCGGCCCTCGATATCTGTAGTCTCCCTCTTCTTTTTCAAAGAGGTAATCTCATGCACGAAGTACAACACGTAGATAAGCAGCACCATCAGCGCGGAAATCCTGCTCATCTTCAACGTGGCAGCCTTACCAAGGCCCACGCCGTTGACTGTATACGCGAAAGCTGTCTACATGGGTTTAGCACAAAATTTCCATCATTTGAGATCAAAAACAAGCTACTCACCGGCATCAGAATAACAAAGACCGAAACGAAGAGCAGGCAGGAAAGCAACTGCGCCTCGACAGTATTGCATATTGGATCGAGGTCGGTCATCCCGTTGACGACGAGGGCAGAGCCGAGAATCAAAAGAAGATTGACAAGTATGGACCCCAGGATAGAAGCCTGGACAACCCGTATCTGGTTGTTTGCTAGGGCAATACTTCGTTGGGGTTAGCTTGGACCCTTATCCTGGCTTGTTGCGGTACTATTACTCACACACTGAGATGCTGTTAGTGCCATCACAACGTAGCTAACCTTTGAAGGATCAGAGGGTTACTCACAATAGGATCAGCTCTACAATATTGCCAAAGCTAATGTTCAAAAGTGCCCCGATCGTATCTCCGGCCTCAGCAGCGATCCCTTCGGTCGCCGCAGTCAGCAAGGCCGACAGAGGCACGATAGCAATGGCATTGCAGGTGAATACCAGTAGCGGGCTCATTTCCAAAACGTATGTCACGCCGCCAACTGGGACGAATATTAATAGGATATTAACCCAGGACGCGGAAAGCATGGCTAGAAGTTGTCGCGTGTATGTCCCAGGCAACTTTGGCTCCGCATGGTTCCTATCTTCGACCTCGCGTAACTCAGCAAGGGGATGCGCTCCCATAGAGGGCACCCGGGGACGGAAGCTTTGCTTGAACCATCGGATGAAAGACCAGGTGTCGAGAGATTGGAGGATGATATCTGTTGCGAAGAGGGAATTAATAGACCATTGCTTGTTGTGCTTCCCCTATTCTAGATGTTATCAGGGATCTTACCTTTGATATTCCACGTCACGGGTTGGGAACGCGGTTCATCATCAATATCGGGAAAGTCAAGAGGGTCTGTTTCGTCCGGAGGATCATCTTCACTGTCTCCCGCAGAAGTAACCGAATTGTTGTCGCCTGTATTATTGCTCTGGCCGAGGTTGAAGAAAGAACCCATTGGGAAAGACTGATTAAGGTTCAAGGAATTCCAGGAGGATCAAACTCCAGGGCGAGATCTATTTGGTGGCACGAAAACAAGCCATACAGGAGTCTCTGGCGACACGACCTCAGCAACAACCCGTCTTGTTTTCAACGGCGCTCTCGCTCGCCCCAACATCGTTGGGGCCGAACACGCACAAGAATCCTCCGGACATTCTGCCATCCCGCACCGCTGAAGATACAAAGGTTACCCTTTCGGGAATTGGCGGCCTCCTGGACGTCATTTCCCAAGTGGAAACCTTACTTCGCCACACAAGCTAGCATTTCCCCTTTCAGAAAACCCGCTGCTGCGTTTTCCTTCGCGCTCCGGTTAAATCTGTCTCTCTGGCCCCCTGCCCATGCGTTAGCTCCGCGTATGTTGGACCCCTGGCCCCCGCCCATGACCTTCTGCACACCCTGCGAACTACCCTACCAGCATGACACCTCCTCCTCCAAAATCCCGAGAAAACAGGTTTAACACCCACCTCATGACACTCTGGGGGCGGGGTAATGTTAGTCCTGTACCGAGGGCTCCCATATTAGGGAGCTGTACTAGCGTCTCCAATGCCTGTGTTAACATATCGACGGAGAAGGCTTCCTCCTATCAAATCGAGGCTAATTCAGAACATCGATGGGATGAGGGATAATCAGGTATGGCTTCAAACCCACATCTAGGGAACTTGCAGCGCACACCTCAAGCATTATCCCACCTATGTGGGTGGGGCGGCCCCCGACTAAGGATGCATTCATTGATGAGCATAGGTCACATTCCACGAAGGTGCCGGCTTGCCTAGGGTTGCTTCCGTGCCGCCCCAGGGTGGTAACTGGTTGATAAGGAGGGGGATACGGGATGATGCATGCCCACAACAGCAGCAATGATCCATGTGATCATTGTCCCTATCGGGCTGGAGTTGAGGAGTTCCGTCTTTGTCCCGCCGGCCACAGAACATCTCATCCCGCTCTCTACGAACGAATCAAACTCTCGGCGCAATTCACATAGTGGCGTTCTCTCATGGCTCCAATGCACAAACACTTTGTCCAGAAAAGCCCCACACATTCCAGTAGGATCCGGTTTAGTCAATTCGCGCGGTAGGCGCTAATATTTCTTTGGGAAGGACAAAAAAAGAACAATGAAAGGTCCAACCCGGATTCGAACCGAGGTCTTGGGAATCAGAATCCCACGTCCTAACCGACTAGACTATTGGACCGTCTTGCTGTGATGAAACCCGCCCGGAAGCCCGGTTTAGTTCCCCGCCCGAAGGATGGTTACACTCGGGTAGTCCAACGAGACCAGGCAGCTAAGCATGCTGTTGAGACAAATGTTCACGGGGCCCTCCTTTTTAGGTCCTGTCGATTCAAGGCCGACCCGCATTAGCTAATATATGGTGACTTCGTTAACTCTAGTTGGTAAAGCCAGGTATGACCGAGAAATCGCTGTAGGCAGACTACTGGCTAAGCCTCAAAGGCCATCATCGGCTTTTGGTGTCCAGTATGGCACAAGACTTGTTGAACTTTCTAGTATAGGTAGGCACAGGAGACGGAAGATAGCTTGATCGCCGCAGCCTACTGGATAGGTACCTGAATGGGACGAGATGAATCCAATGCATTCAGAGGCTTCCGGGAAGCGTTGGATGCTGGCCTTCGAGGCCCTGCCTGCTGGACCTGAATCAATCTCTGCAAGGGTTGAATTGGGAATACTAGAGAGGATTGTAATATAAGGATCGAGTAGTATGAAGCTCTTCGCTTTAAAAGAAAAGTTACATATTATTTAAATCATAGTTTTTATTTAAATATCTGAATTGTTTAAATATCAGTATACTACGAGTTTAGAGACCTTCTAATCATATCCTAGTATCATGATACGAACACCCCCCCGTCGGTCATAGGGTTTGGCTAAGGGTATTATTACGTTTATTCCTATATCCCTTCACTACATAATCCAGCCTGCCGGTCCACCCCATGTTCCTTTAACCATATGCTTGTAATATACCCATGGGAAAAAGTGCTTCTTCAGCCAGAAGAAAGCGCGATGGGGCTTAGCTTGATCTACCCCGGGTACCCACCCAAAGGTCTCCTTGGGTACACCACCGTACTTGAACTCGGCTAGCAATACCCGGTCGTGGTCAGTGACCAGTGGGCAGGAAGTGTATCCGTCGTAGACTGCCGAAGGCTCCTTGTTGCCAAGAGCAAGAAGCAAGTTTCGCACCAATACTGGGGCCTGGGATGTAATAGCCGCGGCGGTCTTGGATGTGGGCAGATTGGAAGCGTCACCCACGGACCAGACATCATGGTATATCTTGTGGCGGGTTGTCGCCGAGTCAACATCCACGAATCCCGCGTTGTCCGCCAAGGGGCTATTCTTCACAAAGGCGTGGGGTCCCATCTTCGGTACGGCGTGGAGGAAGTCGAAGCGCCTAGTGACCGTATCGGAGCCGCCCGGGCGGGCAAAGGTGGCCTTATTGCCGTCATCGATGGAGATGAGGTCGTGCTGGAACAGGGCCTCAACCCCCCGCTCGCGCCGGAGTTTCTCGAGCTCTGCACTATACTTGGGCACGCCGAACATGGCCGGCAAAGCCGACGCCCAAGTGATGTGGATGGGTGAGTCCGCAGTGGGATCGTATCGGCTTTGGCGCTTCCAGTAATCGAGCGCCAGCCACATAATCTTCTGGGGTCCACCGGCACACTTGACGGGTCCGCTAGGGAGGGTGAAAATGGCCTGCCCCTTGTGGAGCTTCTGGATGGCCCCATTCACCTTTTGGCACGTATCGTACCCATAGGTTGACGTGACTAGTGAGCCTGGATCGGCAAGGGCTTCGGGCAAGCCTTTAATGCTGGCATAGTCGATTTTTATTCCGGGGGCAACGACCAGCTGGTCATAGGCCAACGTATCTCCACTGCCGCTTAGTTTGAGAAGCTTATCCTGCGGTTTAAATTCGCCAACGCCGTCGTTGTAGAACTTGATCTTCGAGTCGATCAGGTCAGCCAGGGGCTTCCGTAGCTCACTGGCGGTCTTTAGTCCGCCCCCGACAAGGGTCCAACCAGGCTGGTAGTCGTGCCATGTCGCAGGGTCGACTATCGCGATGTCTCCGGGGAGAAAGCGGCCGGACCTAAGCAACTGGTGGCTGACATTTAGCCCGGCGCTGCCCCCGCCGACGACTATGATCTTATGACCGTGGGACGCGCCTGTGACTGGCCGCGCCGTAGTTTCCGAGGCTAGGCCTCGAACTGCTGTCGGGTTTTCTGAGGAGAATACCGTTCGCGGTGGAGTTGGGTGTCGGGATCTGACGGGCGGTATCCCCGAGGCACACCGAGTGAGTCTAGCCAAAGACATGTTTAACTAACGAATATTTTGATGGAACAGCAGGAGTGAGAAGGTAAAGAGAATAATTCGGCAGCTAAAATTGAACAGAAGAGGAAGCTCTTGTCATATCTATATATATGTGAGTAGGTTTGGCTCCGGTGGACCCCGTGGCAAAACATGCTCAAATTTTCGCCGCATTAAGTCCCCGGCCGAAGGGCCCCGAAGTAGCCGGGCCTAGAAGTCTCGCTCCTATTTAAGCTCGGGAATTCCACCAGGTGCCAGTCAAAGGACTAAATTTAGATTAATTGTCGTTCAATCCTTTTTTTATATAGGCATAGACCATGATACACCTTCACCGGTATGCCAGCAGGGCTTCGCGCACCACCTTCAACAAATCATGGCCTGGACCCGTGGCGGCCCCCGTGTTCGGTCCGGGCGCAGCTCGGACGGCTGCGTCGGAAAACTGTCGCTCTGTCCACTCTCAGGCGGCCCCTGTCGCACCATATAAGCGTCTATCCCCACAGCGCAGGCGCATCCCAGCCGTTTCAACTATTCAGACTATCGGTGCAGACCGGGCATCGTTCGTTACGCAAAGCAAGACGCCTACCTTAGAACCCGTCGTCCACGACGTATTTGAGCCGAACACAGGCACCTGGCAGTACATTGTAGCGGACCCACTGTCCCGCAAGGCCGCCATCATCGACCCCGTCCTGGACTATGACCCGGCTACCCAGCGCATCACCACCAGAGCGGCCGACTCCCTGCTGTCCCTAATCAAGGACGAGGGCCTGACGATCGACTGGATTCTCGAGACACACGTGCACGCTGACCACCTCACCGCTTCGTCCTACATTCAGGCCCATCTCGCGCAAATCCAGGGCCAGAAGCCCCCCATTGGCATTGGCAAACGGATCGTCCAGGTTCAGAACCTGTTCGGGCAGAGGTACGGCATTTCTGCAAATGAGTATTCTCATGTCTTTGACAAGCTGTTTGACGACGACGAGGCTTTCTCAATCGGCCGCGTCCAAGCGTCTGCGATCCACCTTCCGGGCCATACACCAGACCACCTCGGCTATAAAATAGGCGGTAAGCGTTGGCAATCCCCTACGGATACACCTCCTTTATATGTAACCCCATTTTTGTTCCCTCTCTAACGCGATGCATCACCATATAGACAACGTCTTCTGCGGTGACTCCATTTTCAACACAGATGTCGGCACCGCCAGATGCGACTTCCCCGGCGGCAGCGCCCTGGACCTCTGGTCGTCGACCCGCAAGCTGCTCAGTTTACCGGGACACGTGAAGATCTGGACGGGTCACGACTATCCGCCTTCTAGCCGCGGAAACCCTGTCCCGTACATGACGGTAAAGGACCACAAGCTGGAGAACAAGCACATCCGCGATAGTATTGCGCAGGATGAGTTCCTGGCGCTTCGGATGGAGCGAGATAGGCAGCTCGGTGAGCCGAGGCTGCTGCACCAGTCTCTGCAGATAAATATCAGGGCGGGGAGGCTCCCGAAGCCTACTGAGGCTGGACAGAGGCTGCTGCACTTACCATTGAAGCTTTCTGGGGTCAAATGGTAGCCTAGTCTCGGTGTCCGATACAGCGACGTATACATTATGTAAGATGGGGTCATTTCTGTATTAAGTTGTAAGAGGATCAGATGTCACCGGATAGATCTACCCGTCCGGCATCTACTAGCCCCACAGGATGGCATCAGCTGATGCCAGTGATATGGCTTACACGGTCTAAACAGAGAGGTCTTGTTAGATTGCATAAATGACTATTCTAGCGCAAAAGTCTCTGAGTGGCATGTTACTCACATTTTGCCCCAGTGGCATGATTTAACGGGTCTACAGAGCCCGAGTTGAGAGCCCGAGTTGAGACCCTGAATTGAGTCTAGCCCGAATTGAGTCTAGCTGAATTCAGACCCCGAGTTGAGACCCCGAATGGAGATCCCGGATTTAGAGCCCGAATATAGAGCCCGAATATAGAGCCCGAATTGTTGTTCCTAGCGGATCATAGTGGCGTTTGGCTTCGCCTCGTTGTGGGACACCGAACTGGGGCAACGCAGTAGACCTAGCAGTTGGCTCGCTGCCAGGGTGAGAAACAGAGTGACCCTGGCGCAGCGAGGATTGAAACAGCTACTAGTGCCCGGGCCTGTCTCGAGGCAACGCCTGGTTTTGGGGGAGGCGTGATGATGGGGGCCGATAGGGGCATTGGCATGGGAGGATATCGAGACCGCAAGAGGGACGACCTGTATCGTTCATCTGAAGATCACCAGTGTAGCGAAGTTTATTTTCGGGCGAGATTCCTATAGTATCTGGGGGTTTCCTTGCGTTTCTCCCCCCCCGGTCGTCTGTTCTCCCTTTCCTTTTCTTACACCCTCCTTTTCCTAAAGCACCTTTTCTATTGTCGTGTGCCTTTTCCTTCTTGTTTCTGTATTGGCCTTTAAAAGGGCAGCTGGCTGCTTCACGTCTTTGAGTAGACGCTTGTTCAGTACGACCTGTCGTCCTTCGTTTCTTTACATTTTCGTTCGTTGAGCTGGACCTCCTTTCTTTCTTTCTCTCTGTCTTTCTAGCTCTTCGTTTTGTCCCTTTGTTCCCAGGTTATAAGTGTGCCCAAAGAGTGATGGGACAAGCTCTCCCTTCGTTACCACCGGCCGTGGTGCCGCCCCGCAGTATCCGTACCAGCACTGTCAGCAAGTCCAGAACCGCAACCCACCACATCCAAGCTGCCTGCCACGTTCGAACTGCCTGCCACATCCAAGCGACCCTCTACATCCGCCTCACCTAGCGCTACCACTCCCCTATCCGGGTAATCCCTCATAGTTTACCACTACCCACTTTTTACTACGCTATCGCTTGGACGAACTTCAAACGCTTTCCTCTGGAGAATTCCCGTCA